CAGGGGGGCCAGTTGGGGACAAGCAGGCCATCAGTGGAGGTCAGTTGGGAGTGATCAGGACAGCAGGGGGACAGTTGGGGATGAGCAGGCTAGTGGGGAGGGAAGGTAGGGGTGAGCAGGCCCAGCAGGGGGGCAGTTTGGGATGATTAGGCTGGCGGGGGGGCATTTGGGGGCAAGCAGGCCAATAGCAGGGGAGGCAGTTGGGGGCAAACAGGCCAACAGGCAGAGTGGTTAGAGGCAATCAGGCAGGCAGGTGAGCGGTTAGGAGCCAGCAGTCCCGGATTGCGAGAGGGATGTCTGACTGCTGGTTTAGGCCCGATCCCTGTAAACCGGCAGTAGGACATCCTTCAAGGGGTCCCAAATTAGAGAGGGTACAGGCCAGGCTGAGGAACACACCCTCCCCCATGCATGAATTTCATGCACCGGGTCACTAGTCCTATATAATAAAAGCCTAATATGCTAAGTATCCAGTCGTCTGTTCAACCAATCAAAGCGTAATATGCTAATCATATGCTAAGGCTGCTCAACCGCTCACTATGATGTGCACTGACCACAGGGGGCAGATGCTCCAACTGGTAGGTTAGCTTGCTGCTGGGGTCTGGCCAATCAGGACTGAGACGGGCTGGACATGTCCTGGAGCCCTCCTGCGGTCCCTCTCCAGCTGGCCAACCTTCCGTATCTCTCCCTGGCCCCGACTGTGCACCAATGGGGTCCCTTGGGCTGGCCTCCACCCTCTTGCAATCCGGGACCCCTTGGGGGATATTGGAGAGCTGGTTTCAGCCCAATCCTGCAGGCCAGGCTGAGGGACTCCACTGGTGCATGAATTTGTGCACTGGGCCTCTAGTGATAATATATGCACCTCTGGACAAAATAGGGGACCAGCAGTAACCAAAACTTAATAGTTCTGCTAGACCATGATTGTTTTACCTGGCACCTCAAAGTTAATATTAGCCTAAATTGCAAATATTATTCAATAGTTCAGTATTTAGAATATTATATTATAACATGAAAACTATAATACAGTTGTAGCCAAAATATATAACTAACTAACAGAATACCTAAGTGTAGACACAGGTCAAAGTGGGTAATTGTGACTTAAGTCATGGAAATGATGGCAATCTTTCACCAATGAAAGCAATAATTTGACATCTGATATTTCTTTTTTTTTTTTTTAATATATTTTATTGATTTTTTACAGAGAGGAAGGGAGAGAGATAGAGAGTTAGAAACATCGATGAGAGAGAAACATCGATCAGCTGCCTCCTGCACATCTCCCACTGGGGATGTGCCCGCAACCCAGGTACATGCCCTTGACCGGAATCGAACCTGGGACCTTTCAGTCCGCAGGCCGACGCTCTATCCACTGAGCCAAACCGGTTTCGGCAGACATCTGATATTTCAAAAGCAATAATAATTTTCTATTTGAGTATTCCTATTTGGAAAACACATTTGAGCTACATTTCCAAAAATATTATAATTGCTTAAATCAGGATTCAATGTGAATTGCACTATACCTTTCAAAGTGGGTGGGAAGCAGATGAAACTTATCTACCAGAGCAAGCTTTAGGCTTTTGGCTGGAAAGATAATTTTACTCAGAGAGGAACATCTGGTAAAGTTTATTCAATAGTCTTCACATTGACACTGCGCCTAAGACCTTTTCACATAATGTGTACACATGCTACTAAGTCTACTTAATGATTTTTAAGAACTGGAATATAAGGAACATATTAAAATGCATAAATCAGAAGCCCTGGTAAAAAATAAAAATCCAACTTTTAAATTAGCCATGTGATAGTATAAAATAACAGAGGAAGCTCCGCAGAGGATGAGTTCAAAGATCTGAAGCATCAGTAAACAACTTCACCAGTAAGCATATTTTCTAATATCTAATTAATTAAAGCCCAGAAATTAATTCATTCTGTGGATGGGTGTTGATAATTACCTTTGCATTATATATGTAAGTATAAAAAAAAATAAGATTATAAAAAATTCAGGAGATGATTAGTATATTGGGATGTTAAAATATTTTAAACACTATTTCAAGTATCACTCCCTTTTTAAAATAAGGTTTTCTATTGATTTTTTTAGAAGAGAGGGCAAGGGATAGAGAGATAGAAACATCGATGATTGATGGGATGCCTCCTGCATGCCCCCTACTAGGGATTGAGCCCACAACCCAGACATGTGCTCTGCCTGGGAACTGAACTGGTGACCTCTTGGTTCCTGGATCAACGCTTAACCACTGAGCAACATCAGCCAGGCAAGTATCACTCCCTTGAATAACAATGTGATCATTTTAAATGTGTCTCACCTATTATTCAAGGGAAAGTAATCAGAAATTATGGTCTATACTTGCACTGTTCATTACAGCAGTCTCTAGTCACACGTGACAATTTAAATTACTTAAAATAAAATTATAAACTCAGTTCCTCATGACACTAGCCACTGTGCAAGTGGTCCGTAACCATATGTGACTAGTGGCTACTATATTGGACAGCATGGATCATGGACATTTCCATCCGTACAGAAAGTTCTATTGGGCCACACTGACCTTGAAAGGACTATTAAATAGCTATCAAAATATTAACTGCGGTAATATGGAAGTTACTTGAGATAAAATGTTAAGTGAAAAAGAAATAGGCTATATAATTTATACATGTAAGTCATAATTGCAACCATGTAAAAATTCAGGTTCCTTCCTTCCTTCATGTTACTTAGTACCTACTGAATGTCAACATTGCCCTGGGTGTTGGTGGGGGGAGGAGGGCAGTAAAAGATGAGTGAGACCTGTTCCCTGACCTTGAGGAGCTTGTAGTCCAATGAAGGAAGGCAGATAAGGAAGTAGTATGTGCATTACACTATCACAGAGCTCTGATGGAAATTTGCAAGGGATGAAGGAAGTCCCTCAAAATCCAAAGCCATCAACTCCATCGAGGAAAGGAGATCATAATGTGAGCAGTTTGCTAGCCAGACAGACTGAGGAAGAGGAAAGGAGAAAATGGGTTGTCAGTCAGAGAACTGGCCTGAGCACTTTTTAAGGTCCGAGATTTGCTTACGTTTGTAACTTTACAGTTTAGAACTCTAAATGCTTCTAAGTCTGAATTGAACCAAGCACGGGGAGTGAAGGAAGGCATGAAGATGTAATATGAGTGGGATGGCCCAGTGTATTAGATTCCAGGTGTGAGGAGAAGTAAATCATTTGTCAGGCAACAGAACTGGACTTAACCCTTAGTGAATGTGAAAATGAAAGACTTTAAACAGAAAAATAGGAGAAAAGATCAGAAGAAACTAGTAATAACAGTAGGATTAGGGTTTTTCTTTATGATTATCAGTAATTTTCCTTTCCTTTCCACTGTCTTAAAAACTTCTGCAGTGTAGGCATATCTGTTTTATAAATCTGTGTGAAAAATAAAAAGACAAACCACTTTGTCATCTACTGGTTTCCCATGATGTATTTCCATGACAACACTTGTCGTCACTTTGCGTTACTGCTTGAAAGTAAGGACAATCATAAAATTAACTAGCTTTTATTGAGCTATTTTCTTAGACCACACGTGGTTCCAAGTATTTTACATGTATTAGTTAATTTATTAAATCTATGAGGTAGCTACTAACAGATCCATTTCACTAAGGAAGAGATTGAGATTATTTGGAAATGAAGAAACTTGTCCAATGGTACAAATGAGTATGTGGCAAAAACAATCTAATCTCGGAGCCCCAAATTTACCTTGTATTAAATTACTCAGTAATTCAGAATATTCACCATTTCATTCTGGTTTGCCCTCCCTCATTACATTCCGGGACCATTCAGTTTTCTATTCTGAAGGCAGATCCTAGTGTGAAGAGGTAGATAGGAATATGACCCAGTTTTTTAAAAATATTCAAAAGATCAACCCCAGTTATCTGCATATCATGCTCATTCACTTCCTGAAAGTTTCTGCTCAAATGTCTCCCAGTACATGGCTGGCATACGTGGATGTTCAATATACATTTCTAAAATGAATGAATAAATGAATGAATGAATAGGTGAATGAATGAAACATAGTATCTTTAAAAAGATTAAATTTTACTTGATATATAAAGATGACTAGACAGAAAACTATTATTTTATTTAAATTAAAAAATAAGAAATGGGAGAAATAAAATTTTTTATTATAATTCTACTACTGAGAAAATTCAATTAAGCCATAATACTTTATTCTCCAAGTATTTCAGATAATCAAACTCCAGATATTAATGATGAGCTGGACAGAAGTAGTCTAAGCAAGTGACACTGAAGTCATTCACTTTGGCATGGATGAGAAAGGAGGCTCCCTGAAGGTCAAGAAAAACACCACACCAAGGCATGCTGCTAAGGACCACGGATCCAAGAAGTAAAGGGAGCAGGCTAGAAACAGGCTTCTGCCGGAGGGGAGGAGAAAATCCCTGGTTTAATTGCTCACGGGATGAACAAGCGAAACAGAAACAGACTCACAGATACAGGGAACATTTTGGTGGTTGCCAGATGGGAGGGGGGTTGGGGGGATGGGTGGAAAAGATGAAGGGATTAAGAAATACAAATTTGTTGTTACAGCATAGTCATGGGGATGTAAAGTACAGCACAGGGAATACAGTCAATAATATTCTAGTAACTACGTATGGTGTCAGAAGGCTAATAGATTTATCAGGATGATCACTTGGTAAGTTATATAATGTCTAATCCCTGGGGTGTATGTACACCTGAAACTAATATAATATTGTATGCCAACTGTAATTGAACAATAAGAAATGATTTTAAAAAAAGAAAGCCTATAAAAGAGCAAATGCCTAGCACTGTCAGAAACGTAAGATAAAACTGAGCACTTGAAGTTGTAGTCACTTGATTCACTTCTCTGAAGAAGGCAGGTTCGTGAATGAGAAAGGATCTAAAGGCCTGTTCAACACTATGAAGTGAAATTAGGAACCAAAAGAAAACTTAAGACTATATTTCCAGAATTAAAACCATCCAAACAGTTCTTTTCTTCTTGTATAAAGTAGGTATTCTTTGGTTGTCAATTTAAAATAATAGTCTTTATAATTCAAGTTCCATTTTTATAGTCGTGATATAGAAATGTTATTGATTTAAACAAGCTTACTTGAGTCTTTCAAACATTTAAATATGCATTATATGTTTTATTTTTTATATTTTGAATAATTAAAGAGGGCATGTATATTAATCTCTTCTTACCTGGAGGGTGAGTAAGATGCTGCTCAATGTATAGCTTGTTTTCCACTTACGAGGGTCGTCCAAAAAATCTATACAGGGTCGACCAGTATGTTGGTCTACTGTATTAAAATAATACATTAATAGTAATATGTATATAATAAAATTATTATCTAAAGTTTACGAACACCAAAATCTGACAGGCAAAGTTAGAAAGCAAATGACAAAGCAGAAAAATTATGTGCAATGATATGCCAGTTAACACAGTGTAACTATTAAAAACATGGACTTTCAGCCCTGGCCAGTGTGGCTCAGTTGGTTGGGCTTTTTTTCTGTGCACTGGAAATTTGCTGTTTCAATTCCTGGTCAGGGCACATGCCCGGGTTGTGGGCTCAGTCCCAGTAGGGGGTGTGCAGGAGGCAGCCAATTATTGTTTCCTTCTCACATGTTTCTCTCTCTCTCTCTCTCTCTCTCTCTCTCTCTCTCTCTCTCTTCCTCTCAAAAATCAATAAAAGCATATCCTTAAATGAGGAATCAAAAAAAGAATCTAGTATGTATTAAAACTGTTGTATGTTAAAAGTGAAATTATGACTCTAACCGGTTTGGCTCAGTGGATAGAGCATCGGCCTGTGGACTGAAAGGCCCCAGGTTTGATTCCGGTCAAAGGCATGTACCTTGGTTGCAGGCACATCCCCAGTAGGGAGTGTGCAGGAGGCAGCTGAATCGATGTTTCTCTCTCATCTGTGTTTCTAACTCTCTATCCCTCTCCCTCTCCCTTCCTCTCTGTAAAAAAATCAATAAAAATATATATTTTTAAAAAAAGTGAAATTATGATTCAGTGGTGAAAGAAAAGGTGAAAAAATGGTATAAAATGTGTTGTTGCAAAATACTCATCGTCCTTCAATATCTACTCTTCCTCTCTTCCATTTCCTCTCTGTAATACGACTAGACATGCCCCAATACCCATTACCCTACACTGTTTAGATGAATACATGGTTGCTCAGACTATTTTCTCCTGCCTCCCCTCTAGCAAGAAGCCCTGTGACTAAGTTTTAATCATGGGATATCAACAGAAGTAAAGTATATAACTTTTGGATCATATTTTCTTAAGGAAATTGTTTTACTTTCTCTTTCCCCTTTCCCCAATGGCTGGAAATGGTGTTAAACAGTAAATGCTTTAGATCCAGAAACAGAAGTCAGATTGAGGATGGCAAAACTTCCCTGCCAACTTTGTCCTATTATGTGTAGATTGGAAAGATATATGGAAGCTTGGCCTCTGCACTAATACAGTTAATTAAGTCAACCTGTATTTTTTAGAAACAAAGAATAGAGTTAAATATGCAAAACAAAACTATAGAATAACCAGAAGAAAGTTAAAATAATTTGATTGTGTTTTGGAAAGAACTTCTAAACTTAAAGATAACTAAGAATCTCAAAGGACAAGACTAATAAATATGACTATATAAAATTTTAAAAATCCCAAATGTAAAAAAACCCCAAGCACCAAGAAAATTTAAAAATGACAAATGAAGAAAAATATTTGCAACACCTACAACAATGTGATAACATTTTAAATAATCCAGACAATTCAAGAAATCAAAAACACAATAAAGAGATATGAAAAAATGTCAAACTCACACATATTAAAAAAGTGCATATTAAAATAACAGATTCTTATTAAATTGTCAAAAAATATTTCTCCAAAGTTACAATGTCCAGAATTGGAGAGCAGTAAAATATGAACTTTATATGTGCTTCCTGGTGGGATTACAAATAACATCAGTGAAAGGCAATTAGGTTGTATGTATCTAAAGACTTAGAACTGAGCACACAGTTTTTGGTGTATGGGGCTAATAACATTCCTCCCATCCAAAGTGTGTATATAATAAATAGAGTAGAGTGTTAAAAGATGCAAGTGAAAAGTATCAACTTCAAGATACGTAAGACTGAAATGGAGAATGCTGATCAATGCTTTAATCAAGTTCCACAAAAGTCCCCTGATTTGAACTTAACCCCTCAAATGGAGGCCTGCCTAGGTTTCCTGCCTGAAGATACAGAGACGGTACCCATTCTAAGGTCCGGCTTATTAGAAGGAAAGTTTTGAGAAAGTGCTGAGCCACACATGCTCAATTCTTTCTCAGATCTCCCCAATTAGGTAAGTCATTCCTCCTCCTGGGAGGGGTAAGGGAGAGAAAGAAGAGCAATCACAAGTTTTCCCATATTTCCTCCTCTTCTTTACTAATGCATAAAAATGCAACAGATTCTTGTGTATTAATTTTGTATATACTGCAGCTTTATCAAATTTGTTTATTAGTTCCAACAGTTTCTGAGGGGGGGGCCTTTATTGTTTTTTTTTTAAATATATATATACAATATCAGGCCATGCGCAAATGACAGTTTTACTTCTTCCTTTCCAGTTTGGATGCCTTTTATTTCTTTTTCTCACCTAATTGCTTTGGCTAAAACTTTTAATACTATCTATACTAATAAAAGGGTAATATGCTAATTAGGCCAGACATCTTCCGGACATCCTTCTGGACGTCCTTCTGGACAAAGCCATGGTGGTGGGGGCCGAGGCAGAACCGGTTAGGGGTGATCAGGCTGGCAGGGTAGAGCAGTTAGGAGGATCAGGCTGGCAGGCAGAGGTGGTTAGGGGTGATCAGGTAGGCAGGGGTCCCAGATTGGAGAGGGTGCAGGCCGGGCTGAGGGACCCCCAACCCCACCGTGCACGAATTTCATGCACTGAGCCTCTAGTGTTGGCTAAAAGTAGTGAGAATGGGCATCCTTGTCTTGCTCCTAAATTTACTTTATACTTTAATGTAATTTTTCCAACTACATTATTGATTTTGAAATTAAAACCTATTTTTAAAGAATAAAATTAAATTTATGATACAGAATTAGTTGTGTACATTTACCATTATTTGCTTAAAATAAACACTGAAAGAAATGGAATTACTGGATTAAAGACCATGGGAAGAGGTGTTCTTATATGTCCTTGTCCTCACCTCCCATTCCACAGAGTAGACCTTCCTTGTTCTGTTTAAGAGCAATATATGGAGAGCTTTAGAACATTTCACTTTTAAAAATGTTCTATATTAATGGATATTGGAATCATTCCTGTTTCTCTATTATTATTGGGAGCAAACACCTTTTAAACATTCTCTTGCACACTTGTGCTAGTATTTCTATGGAATAATTTGTAAACATAGTATTACAGGATTTAGGGCTATTTGCATTTTATATTTGATTAGAAACTGTCAAATTGCTTCCCCAAAAGGACACCTGAAAGGCATCATGTCAGAGGACCCATATTTGTCCAACTTTATTAAAATTGTTATTTTAGTCTATAATCATAAACAATGAATCACAATTTTATGCATTTTATATACAGTTTAACATGCATTTTCTTCTTATTAGTGAGATTGAACATATTTTTACATTTTTTTGTTATATTTCCTCTACCAAATGTTTGTTTATAGTTTTTGTCCATTTTCCTATTGCTTTATGTTTTTTATTGATTTACATGTATTCTTTATATGTTATAGATATTCTGTTTTATGTGTTGCAAATATTTTCCCTCAGTTTGCAAATCAATGTATTTTGTCTCTGTTTATAATGTCATTATCTGTAGTTTAAAAAAGTTTATGTAGTTTAATGTGTCATGCTTTTTCTATGCTTTTTAGTTTCTATCACATTTAGAAAGGCCTTCTTCACCAAGCACATAAAAAATTATATTAAATTCCCTTCTTTGTAGTATTTAAAATTTTTAGCTTTTTAATCAATCAGAAATACACTTTGTATATGACTTAAAGTAGCAATCTAATGTACTTTTATCTAAAATGTTAATTTGTCACTGTATCACATTTTATAACAAAAATTAATCCAACTAAAATACTGAACAATGTAGTCATTAAAAATGATCTTTTGAAGAATGTTTAATAATGCAGCCATAAGCTTATGTAATATTAAATGGAAAAAAAAACTAGTTGCAAAACTTTATATCTAATACCTTAACTATGTGAAAAAAATACATATATAGAGAAAAGTAAATAGATTTAATTAAATGTTGAGAGTAATATCTCTTTGAATTAGGATTCAAAGTGATAATTTTTTCTTTTTATGTTTTCCCCAATAAAAATGCTTACTTTTGTAATCATAACATAGTTGTTACATTAAAAAGAAACATTATTAAATACTAATACATAACAAAGATAATAGAAACAGAGCTCCTGATGATAAAAATCTCATTTGGTCCTTACCATTTGGATGAAAAGGAATGAGTTTAAATTTCACAACTGGAGGGACGAGATTATATTCTGCTGTAAAATTTATTGTCAGCGGGAAGTATATTCCTATAATATAAAAATAAATATTTTTACTAAGGTGTCATGTTGTACTGGTTAACTCTAACTGATTAACACTGAAGTTTCTTATTATAGTTTAGCCTCCCAAGGTCCCTAGAGTTTTATTCTTGAGTAAATTGGAACATAGTGTGCATAGACCCCTCTAAATAGTATAACAGACTCCTCAAATCTAATCCCACTATTTTATCAGCCTGTTTTCCATCCACTAACTCCGTCCCCCTAACACTTGTCCCATTCATATTGACAAAACCAGGGGTGGGCAAACTTTTTGACTCGAGGGCCACAATGGGTTCTTAAACTGGACCGGAGGGCCGGAACAAAAGCATGGATGGAGTGTTTGTGTGAACTAATATAAATTCAAAGTAAACATCATTACATAAAAGGGTATGGTCTTTTTTTTTTTAGTTTTATTCATTTCAAACGGGCCGTAGTTTGCCCACGGCTGGACTAAACTCACTGTTTCAGAACCTGGTGCACTTTCTCTTTGCCATGCTGTTTATTCTGCCTGAATTTCCTTCCCCTCCACCCCTTCTAAACCTGGCAAACTCTTATGCATTCTTCTTTTTTAAATTAATTTTAGAGAGAGGAAGGGAGAGTGGGAGCGAGAGCGAGAGTATGAGCGAGAGAGAAACACTGATGTGAAAGAGAAACATCAATCAGTTATCTTCAGCATATGCCTTGACTGGGGATGGAACCCTTACCCTTGGAGTGAGGATATGTTTTCCATTGATTTTTATACAGTGGAAAAGCAGGGGGCGGGAAGGGGCGGGGGAGAAAAAGAGAGAAAGAGAGAGAGACATGGATGTGAGAGAGACACATCAATTGGTTTCCTCCTCTTGCACCATGACTAGGGCCAGGGATTGAATCTGCAACCGAGATACATGCCCTTGACTGGGAATTGAACTGAAGAACCTTTGGTCCATGGGCCAATGCTCTAACCACTGAGAAAACTGGCCAGGGCAGAAAGCCATTTCTTGACTCTCCAAGCAAAATTAACTAATGAATGCCTCCTTGGCATTCTGTTCGAAATCCTAATAGCACATGTTATATTTTATTGTAATTAACCACTTTACGTGTTGTTCTCCCCTACCTCACTCAGCAAATCTAGTTCATTAATCCACTATTGATAGAATGCATGATCACTAAAGTTTACAGTGGCCTGTCTTCTTGAGAATTTGATATGTGGAAATTTTGGGAAGAATCATAGAAAATAAAAATGAGAGATAATGTGGAATTTTGATGCCAAAAGGAATTTTGATACTATTTTCTGATTTCATGGAAGACTGTTAGAAGATATTTTCAACTGTTATGCTTTATTGTGTCAGCTTCTTAAACAATGTAATAACATTAAGATTTGGCATAAAGAAAAATTCAAAACTAACATTTCTATTTAGGTTGACAAATGTCAAAAATTAAGCCATACAATAAAAAAATTACATGTGAATACTTTCAGAACTCTAGAAAATTTATATAATGCAACCTTCTTTTGCACATAAAGAAGATAGACTAATAATGGCATAAAGACTTTTTAAAAAGTAGATTGGTTTTGAAAATACATACCATGCCAAATTGTATCCTTTAGACCTTCAATACTAGCTTCCCATTTCAACTTGTCTTCACTTACAGGAAAGGCAGTAATACCCTTTAATTTAAAAAAGAAATCAAAGCAGTAAAATTTTTACTATTTTTTTAAAAAATTAAATATTTATTGCAGCTTTGAAAAGCAGTTATCAGGTTACAATGAATTCTAAAAACTCTACATTTTCTTTTCCTGATGAATTTATTTATATGCTGATTTGGGGAGATGTGATATTTTGTGTTATTACATAGCTGTTAGGTGGGTTCCACACAATCATAAATTCAAGCCAGGCTGGTGTGGCTCAGTGGCTGAGCATTGACCTCTGAACCAGGAGATCATGGGTTCATTCCTATTCAGGGCACATGCCCAGGTTGTGGGCTCAATCCCCAGAGAAGGGTATGCAGGAGGCAGCTGATCAATGATTTTCTCTCATCATTGATGTTTCTATCTTTCTCTCCCTTTCTCTTTAAAATCCATAAAACATACATTTTAAAAATAGTAAATTTTAAATAAATCCTAAGTGTGGAAATCACAAGTGGAACTAGAAAGTCAAGATTTGGATGTGTGGCTTATGTACTTCAATAGCCAATTTAAGATTCAAATTAGAAGAGAAGGAATTCATTGGAAAGCATGCATCTCTTCAGAGCTTTTAAAAACTGTATAAATGCTACATGTAAGGCATGAATCAGAACATTTTCATTAAGAAAAACACAACTCCAAAATTATGCTTGCATATAAAAATAAATTCCCCTACAGTTGAGATATTGTTCCAAAAGAGGGACAAGAATGTACAGAGTAGGCAAAAGTAGGTGTATAGTTGCTTGCATGGAAAGTAATACAATAATTAAAATATAATACTACAAGAACAAACTGTGTTTCCAGTACGCACACTGTAAACCTACTTTTATATATATATTATTGATATATTGATATATTATTATATATCAATATTATTGATTTTTTGCAGAGAAGAAGGGAGAGGGATAGAGAGTTAGAAACATCGATGAGAGAGAAACATCGACCAGCTGCCTCCTGCACACCTCCTACTGGGGATGTGCCCGCAACCAAGGTGCATGCCCTTGACCGGAATCGAACCTGGGACCTTTCAGTCCGCAGGCAGATGCTCTATCCACTGAGCCAAACTGGTTAGGGCTGTAAACCTACTTTTGACCCACCCTGTATTTCAGAGAAAACCTTATCAATGATGCTGGGAAATACACCTAAATTTACTCAATAAATACTTCTGAGCAACCACATAGTTATTCAGTATGTTCGGTGCTAGTCTGAAGAAACATTGTAAGATATCTCTATTATCTACATTATCTATAATTACATATCATTTCTCCTTCATGGAATTGTCCTTTCAACAGACAACCACAAAGTTCAGGTAGAGCAGAAACAATATGAAAATAACTTCATTGGTGTCATTTGGAGCAAAGCCTTCCTCTGTGTTAAAATTATAAGGGAAGGGCATCTATGTGTTGTGACAAGTTAGCAAAAAGTGCACCATACACAAGTAGTAGAACACAAGACCCTGAGCAAGAGATTGCTGAGCTGGTCAGAGCATCGGCCAGATATGCCAAGGTTGCAGGCTCGATCTCCTGTTAGGACACATAAAAATTTATCAATGAATGTGTAAATCAATAGAAGAACAAATCAGTGTTTCTCTCTCTTGCTCGTTCTCTCTCTCCCTTCCTCTGAAATCAATAAACAAACATTTTTTAAAAGCATCAACCAATGAATGCATAAATAAGTGAAACAACAAATCAGTGTTTTTTCCTCTCTCTACAATCAATAAACAAAACAAAACAAATAAGAGCAATTCTGACGCTAAATATTTACTGAACCGTTTTGAGGTTCAGGTTTCTGATAGGTAAAACAAAACACTACTTATAGTATTGTAATTAATGAGAGCAACCTTTTACCTGTTAGTCACTTACAACATGATAGACCCTGATATTCAGGGCTTAAGTCTACATATATTTCTCAGCACAATGTGCTCAATATTGTTAGCTATTATCATTATGAAATAATAATTATTATAAAATGGATTGTTAGAGTAAAATAGATTTGTTAAACAACAGTACTGTAGTGGTAAATTAGGTTGAACTTAATTATGCCTTATAGAATAAACGCAGATGAAGCTGCTTTATAAAAGTTCTGCCCCAGTGAAACCCATCCCTCCGGGTCCCCAGTACTCACCGTATACTGGTTCTCTTCCAAGTCTCTCAAGTCTTTTAGCAGCAAGAAGTAACTTCTGCTGCTCATGATAAGGCAGCAAAGAGTCTGGCACTTGGCTCCACACTCACAGGCGTTGCTCTGAGGCAGGTGTGTGAGGTTACGAGTCACCCTCCCACACCTGGTTAACTGACCTCAGTTACTTGCTTTCTAGAGTTGCAGAACGCCTTGTGCTCCCTAGATAAATGGCTTCCAAATTGGGCATATAATAGCGACTTTCTCTTCTCCTCGGATTCCTCCAAACTAAGACTTCCAGAGGGGAAACTTGGGCACGTTCTTGACCGCCGTGCGACACTGCAGCGCCAGGCTCCCGGCAAACTTGGACTAGCACCAGGGACGACCCGGGTTGTTGGTGCGTGAGGTGGGCGTGGGAGGCATAAGCTCACGGCGGTGGTAGCCAGTTTTTCTCTTCGCAGGTGTAACTGGGCTCCTGCTTAGCTGGTAGACGCAAACAGGCAACAGGCCCCTCCCCTTACGAAAAGTACGGAGGAGGTGGGAGCTTGGCCGCCTCTCATCCAATCAGCGACAGGGCGCAGACCTCTAGAAACCTCCGGAGCCAACCGTCCAATCGTTTCACTTTGAAAGGCCAATGAGATTCGTCGTCAAGGCCCCGCCCCCGCCTCACTCAGTTCACGAAGGTGGACTCTACCTACCTCGCTCGTGTATAGGGTCGGGGTGGAGTCCCGAGGTTCAGCATGTAGAAGCCCTCACTCAAATCCCTCTCTAAATTGATTCTTCCTCGTTCTTTGACTATCAGAGACTATCAGGTAATAAGTGACCAGTAGGTACAGGTGTATTCATAACAGTATCTTAACATATGGCAAGTTACCATTTGAAATCCGTTAACATATATTATATCATCATTATATCATCGAATCCTACAGTTGCCCTGGAAGAATGCTCCAGGAACAGAGCACTACTAATAATTTCCCAGATTCCCATTTCTTGCCGAAGTTTTGGGTTGTATCCCAGCATATCTATGTTTTCGTAGCCTACAGAGCCCTGAAGGAGTTACTTAGCCTCCTGTACTTATGTTTTCTCATCTATTAATATGCAGCCAATAATGCCTATCTCTGAAGATTATTATGAGGATTAAAAAAAATGATGGCTGCCAAGCACTCAGTCATTGCTGAGAGTAAGTGATAGTCCACAGCGGCACTTAACCACGTGCTGGGCACACTGTTCTAAATGTTTAACAGACATTAATTGGATTCTCAATCCTAATTTTTACAGTAAGGGAAACTGAGGCACAGAGATGCCACATAATTTGCCGTAGGTCACACAACTGGAATGCCGTAGAGCCAGGATGCAGACTCCAGGACATGCAGCTCCAGAGACCCTGCTTTTAACCACTAGGCAGCCCTGCCTCACCAAGACCTTGATTTGGAGCTCTCTAGCCTTCTTGAATAAGGTATTGCTACTCTCAATAGTTTTCTTTGTGCATCTGTTGCTTTTTGAAAAAAAAATTTTTTTTGGTGTATTTATTTTTGGCTGCATTTCTACCTGCTAATTTTCGGAGTCCCCTGTCAACTAAAATACTAGTATAAGCCCAAGAAAGCTGGACCACTGCTGTATAAAATAGTGCCTGGCACATAATAAAGGCCCAACTAAGTGTGCATTATGTTTTGTTTCTTAGATTATAAATGTATTAACAAATCCATCTAACTTCTGTAATTTATTAATATATTTATAGCACTCTGTATGTGGCTCAAAAATATCAACTACTAAATATTTTGATATTAACTTTTGTTACTTTAGTAACTTGAAGTGAAGAGTAGATTAATTTAAATCCTACTAGATGCCTTTTGGGGCTTTTCCTCACAGTCTTTCCCCCTAACAACAGGCCTAGAGGATTGAAAGGAGAAAGGTTGCATTGCATTTTTTATGAGAGGCAGAATTCTAAGATGATCTCCAAGATCTCCAGCCCCTGTATAATCTTCAGGACTGTGAATATGATGGATTTTGGGTGAGCCTGACCTAATCAGGTGAGCCTTAAATAAGACCGGGCTCTTCCCGAAGTCAGTAATTCAACGTGTGAAAAGGATTCTATGTGAGGGAGATGCTCTGTTGCTCCCTTTGCAAATGAAAGGGGCCATGTGGCAAGGAGGGTGGGTAGTCTCTTGGAGGTGCGAGTGGTGGCTGGCTGACAGCCAGCAAGGGAATCAGGGCCTCAGTGTTATAACAATAAGCGACTGAATTCTGCCACAACCATAAGAGCTTGGAGGACCTGAACTCCAGATCAGAACACAACCTAGCCAGCACCTACTGAGGCCTGAGCAGAAAACTCAGTCACGCTGGACCTGTATTGTTTTGAAATAGTACGTTTGTGGCATTTTGAGAGTTAGCAACAGCTAACTAATACAACTTCTGCCTAGAGTGAGCAGCTACTGACCAAGACAAAGCATGTGGCAAAAGGTCAATCACTCACTGATTTAGTATGAAAAGCATGTGAATCCAGTTAGTAGACATTATCATATGGCTTTCGACAGGGTTAGGGGACAAGATAGGTATGGCATCCTGAAAAATGAAGTCTGATCTAAGCTCACGTACAAATTTTCATCATCCTAGATGAGCAAGGCAACTGAAAGTCAATGCTTTAACATTGGTAAAGTTACTGAGGCCATCTCCAGCTCTAACAACCAAGCATCCCCCTCCCCCCTCTTTTTTAAAAACAATCCTTTCCCTCAGGACTTGAACAGATGTTTTCATTTTACTTAAACTCTAAGCCTGTTTTCCTCATCCACCAGGAATATGTACCAGTACAAAGTGTTAACCTCGTTTGGATTTGAACCCCCGTCCTCAAGAGCAAAAGAAGGCTGAGGATCGCCAAATGCCAGCTCAGCTGTGAGACGTGTTTTAAATCATATTTTGACGTATGTTACGCTGTTAACTAGAAAATGAAGTGCAGCACACATGCTTCTAGTAACTCTGGTTTCAAATCATATGATCCCTCCTTTGTCTTGAAGACCTTTTGATGTGCATTCCCATATTGAGTTTCTCTGCTTTTAATAATCTTATACTCCTTCCTCAATATAAATGTCAGGAAAAATACTGAATGCTAATCTTCAAAGATCAAACAGGAAGAAAGAGGTGGGCAGCCTAGTTCAGTGACTTGAATTCCTGAAATTTCTCATTTAAAATTTTTTATTTTCTCTTATAAAAGCCTAGGATCCAAGAAATGCTGTGTTCCCCTTTGTAAAGTTGAAGTGTAACCCCCCCCCCCCCCCCCCCCGCTCAATTTCAGAGTTGTGTGAATTACAAAATAATGTGGTCTTTCCCTGCAAGGCACCTGAGATGCAGGGGCCAGTGATCAGTATTTATATCTATAGTTGTGTCTACTTAACAGACAGGAACTCTGAATCCATACATGCTCGCTTTTATTTCACCTTCTTGGCTTTAGCTATGGGGGGCCAAGAGTCCAGGTTTGCCTGGGACTGGGTGCTTTCCTGGGAGAAAGGACTTTCATTGTTAAAAGTGGAATAGTCCCTGGCAAACTGGCACAGTCCAACACTCCAGCTTGGGCATCAAGGACCCTTTCAAGGTGGGAATTGTGTAGATAATTTGGTAAAAGCTGCTTCTTTGTTTTTGGACCTTGATGCTTAAAGGAACCTAATTTGTTTTCTATTGCAGGCTCTGGTGCCCATACCCCATAATCAAGGTTCTGAAAAATAAATCTCCGAATTCCTTTAGGAGAGGCTCGTAGGGAGGTTTATGATGAAGAAATGCAATGCCTGCCTGGGTACTTTGCATATTTTAGGAGAATCAGGTCTCCTTTCATTTCATTCCTCACTTGGGAAAACCAATCATTGAAAGAGATGCGTTTAATAATATCTAAGTACACCTGAGACCGTTCAGAGTGTGAGGATATGGGAGGGGGAACTGCTTAAAAGGTATAATTATTCTAGGCTTCCTTCACATATATTGGTTTAACTAACCTCATACTCAGTTGTCCTAAGAATAATTCCAGAATTTCAACATGGGAGAGGCTTTGAGATGGCAATTGGTTTGGAGCAGGTATAAGGTATGACATATGGGTTAGGGATGGCTCAGGGCAGCAACTTCAACCAGTGTGGCGCAAGAACTTTTAAACCATGCAATACCTCCCTTCCACTGAATTGTCAAAATAAAAACATGACAACAGCCAACACAACAATAGCCATCCGGTGTGGATGAATCAAAATTATACTATTTTTTTGATCAGAGTGGAAAAAATGTAATATATTTTTTGGCGTGCGGTAGAATTTTAGTGATTAGTTTATGTGTGCCATGAGAAGAAAAAGGTTGAAAATCACTGGCTTAGGGATGTGTCTTGGAGGTGTTTCTACTCAGTGTATGTTTGTTTATTAGGGCTGGTTGGAAGGGAGGTGAGGGAATGGCTGAGGGGCTGAGCCCGCCCCCGCTGGTTGGCATCAGCACTAGATATACACATGAAAAATAGAATATACTGTGTTCTAAATTTTTTATCACAATAGAAAAGAATGTGTCCCTTTATAAAAATTGTTTAAAACACATTGAATAATAGCAATGTTACCACCTTCTGAGCACTTGCTATGTGTCAGATACCTGAAAGACAGGTCTTAGAGAAAAATTACGAAATTGTAGCCCATTTTTTGAGAACGTTTTCAGGCACTCTTGTCTGCAGGTTACATGAATTAGCTCATGTATGTTAATGAGCTTCAGTTCTAAAGTAGATCCTTTTTCAGAGGTTGAACTCACAGTTCAGGAACTTATCTCAATTCACATGGTTGCTAAGGGGTGAAGGGGAGATTTAAGCTCAGGCAATCTGACATCAGAACCTTTACTCTTAACCTCTATGCTACAGTTCCATTATTTTATGGCTAAAGAAATAGAGATGGCCTTACTCACACAAGGTCATCTGGCCCCTGTGCTGGAGCAGTTGAAAAGTATGTGCTTCATGCTCCCATTCTCTTCGACCAGGTCCCTTGAAGGACAGAAGCCTAGGCATAGTGGTGTATGCTAAGCAATCTATAGGAGGTGTTAAGGAGGCTTCTCTTTTTAGGTCCATCCTG